AGTTGTCTGGGCCTATTTTTTTTTTTTTTTTTTTGAGGCATATTTTTAAAGATTCTCCATTTGCTTGTAATGATTGCTTTGACATCACTATACAGCATGGAAGGCTTTCTAGGTTTTTTTTTTTTTTTTTTTTGCTGATAGTTTTATAAAGACCTGTTTAATTTCAACATATGTACCTAATGTGCTGGACACAAATGATGTATGTACGGATTGTGATGAGTTTTATGGGCCCCTAATAAAATGATTTTTTTAAAAAAATCTTGGCAAAAAAAATTTCTTCTTTTGCTATGGGTCTGTTCATGCGTTCTACTTGTAGAATTTGGCCATTTCTTTTAGGTCTTCTACTTTGTTAAGAGTACAATTCTTCATAAAATTGTTCTATTGTCCTTTTTTATTCCAGTCCCATTTTGCTTGTTATTCAAGTCATTTATTTTCTCCTTTTTTTTTCCTTTGCTCGATTTGTCAGTAACTTGTTGGTGTCACTGATGCTTTCAAAGAACCAGCTTCCTATCTTGATTCTATTTTTCTATTTTCTTTTCCCTTCATTTTTGTGGTAATCTTTATGATTTCTTTTCTTCTGGTGATTGTAAAGTTTCTTTCAGTTCTTTTTCAATTGTTGGAGATGTCTAAGGCGTTCATCACTCTTATTTTTAGATGTGTGTGTTTACTGTAATAAAAGCACTCTGAGCCGTGCATTTGCTGTGCCCTATAGATTTTTGAATGTTATGTTTCTATTTTAATTTGTTTTGAGGAATTTTTTTATTTATCCTTTCATTTCTTCTAGTACCTAGTAGTTTTTTGCAAGGTTTTATTAAATTTCCATGTCTATATTTTTTCTTGGTCTTTCCATTGTCAATTTCTAATTTTATAACATTAAAAAAGGTTTTGTGATGCTTTGATTTTTTTTTAATGCATTCAAGCTTTCTTTGTTGCCTAAAATATAGTCTCTTTGGAAGAATGTTCCATGAGCATTGGAAAAGAATGCATAATGTAATGGTTTGTGGTGGAGAGTTCTATATATATCATGAGGACAAGTTATTTGTTTGTATTGTTCAGTTCTTCTGCATCATTTTTGAGTTTCTTTCTAATTGTCCTAGCCTTCCCCAAAGTGGTGTATTAAAGTCTCCTAGTATGCTTGTGGAGTTGTCTATTTCTTTCATTAATTATTAGAATTTGATTTATGCATTCTGAGGCTCTTTCATTGTCTATGTAAATATTTATTATGATGTTTGTGCTGTTATTCAACTGATTCTTTAATTGTTATGTAATGTCCTTCTTTGTCTATTCTGATTTTTTTCTTAAAGTCTATCTATTGCCATAACTGCTCTTGCCATTGAATTGATATTTTTTTCATCCTTTTATACTTTGATTTTCAATTTATTTTTGTCTCTGTGTCTAATGTTTGTCTTTTGTAGACAGTATACTTATGTGTTTTGTTTTCTGATCCATTCTGCAACTATTTGTCACCTGACTGGTACATTTAATAAATTTACGTTCAGTGTAAATACGGATAAGAATAAATTTATTGTTGATATTTTCCTGTGTATTTTTGTGGTGCTGCTGATTATTTTGTTCTATATAGTTTTCTTACACCTTCCAGGTTAAATTTCTTCCTAGGTATTTCATTCTTTGATGCTATTAAATATGGAATTGTTTTTCATTATGTCCTACCAGACTTTTTAAAATGATTCATTTTACTTTTGCTCTTGTTGCTGAAAACACACTCGGCAAAAGAGACACCAACTGTATTCCACTGTTGACATTCTTTGAGTTGTATAAATATTCTCACCTTCCTGTTTTGATTAGTTCTTAGCGCTTAACATAAATAAATTGCCACCCTTGTTTCCTATCTAATTGTTCAAATTGCCAATGTCAACTTGATCCCTTTACAGCTACTCATCTGCAATGAGTGCAAGGCTCAAGACAGACATTTTTTACGAGTTAAGCTAAACTATTGCCTGATTTTAAGAATACCTCAGGGGATACTTTCAGTTTAAGGTTTAAAGATGATTTCAGAGCCATCCAATATCCATGGCGCCAGAAGGTCCATGAGAATTTGACATTCTTTTCTGCATTTTACCCTTGGGATGAGGATTCTTCCATGAGATCTTTGATCAAAATGTCCAGTAATGGTAGCTGAGCACCTTCCAATTGCTTTTGTATCAGGGTAAAGGAAGCATCTCTTCATGCAGGCAGTTAGCCTCACATTCCATGTCCTTTTCCTATTTGCCACTCTCCTCTGATGCTCTAAGCAAATAGAGTCAAACAGCTGTGCCTTGTGTGACTACTCGTAAGCTTTAAGACTCTAGATAATGCATAGCTAAATAGTAGATACAACAGAAGCACTAAAGATATTAGGCCAATTAATTTCAATGCCCCATGAAACAATGACCTTAAACCTCTAAAGCAAGGAGCCAAATCCCATGAGATGCTTAAAACCTCAGCACCTAATATTTACTGGTTTGTTTGTTTACTTGTTTTTATTGTAATTACATACAGGCACACAACTGATTTTTGAGAGCTAATCTTATAGCCTGTGACTTGATTACACTTTTAAGTTGAACTCTAATAGTTTATGGATTCATTTAGGATTTTGCATATATAAGAATATGTCATCTGAAAACGTAGTTAAACTTCTAATATGTTTTATGTTTTTATGTTTTTCATCCTTTTGTCATTGTTGTTGTTCACTAAATGTGCTTGCTCACATCTCCAGTAGACTGGAGTGGCAGCGGTGAATGTGGGCATCTTTGTCTTATTATCTTTGAGGAAAACCTTAAGTTTTACATCATTGAGTATGCTATCAGCTGTGGGTTTTACATACATACCTCCTATTATTTTGATGGGTTTTTCTTCTATTCCGAGTTTGCTGGGTGTTTTTATCATGAAATAATATTGTATTCTGTCAATAGACTTTACTACATATGATTCTGTTTCCTCATTCAATTAATGTATAATATTTACACCGAATTTCCGATTTTGAAAGACCTCCTACCATTTTGGGTAAATCACAATTTATCATGGCATATTAGCATTTTTAATATGCTATTGACTTCAGTTTTCAAGTATTTTGTTGAGAAATTTTATATCTATGTTTATAAGGAATGTTGGTCTGTAGGTTTCCTTGTGGTGTCTATATCTGGCTTTACAAACAGTGCAATACTGGCATCATACAATGAGTTAGGAAATTTTCCCTCATCTTGTATTTTTTCAGACGAGTACAGGAAGGATTAGTATTACCTCCTTTTTAAATGCGTTCTAGAATTCAACAGCGAAGCCATGTGGTCCTGGGCTATTCTTTGTTGGGAGCTTTACTGATTCAATCTCTTCACTTGTTCACCTATTGAGATTTTCTATTTCTTGTTTAGTCCATTAGGTATTCTGTGTGTTTCTAAGAATATCTATTGGTGAACACTTGTCTTTGTAGTCTCTTATAAACTTTTTTATTTCTGCAAGGCCAGTTGCAATAGCCCCCTTCATTTCTCATTTTAATTATTTGCTTCTCTTTTTCTTTGTTAGTCTACTTAAAGGTTAGGTTTGTGAATCTTGGTGGCTCTATGTTTCATTTGCTCTTCTTTTAGTTTCTCAAGGGCCACTTTCATTTTTAACACCATGTGCACACTGGCAATATTAATACAGTTACTAGTATTCAAAGCAAAGCATATTTGCTATTTTCCAATATCTGAACTATGCAATTTTCCTTGTAATATTCCAATTCCTATCGCCCAATTTTGAGTTAATAAACACTGTATAGATTTATATGCCAGTGGCATATCTGGGTAAATTAACTTAAAATATCATAAATGGTCCTAATTTTATGAACTCACACTGATATTATGTTTATTCACTTTGATTCAAAAATGTCTATACAAATACTTAAATAAAATAAAATAAGCTAATCAAATTTTAGAATATATTTTCAAATCTATCATCAGTTTTACCACTAAAAGAGAACAAAAAGGTTCTAAATAAATCATTTCCTAAACTCAGTAATTTTATCCCTAAAGCATTTCAGGTTTTAAAAAAAAGATGTATATCTTAGTATCAAACCATAAGATTTTTTATCTATATGACATTTTGCATACCACTTGTGACTCTCAAGTCTAAGCAACTCTCAACATGAAATAAGGTGAGACAAGCGACAAAATATAAAGAACAGAAGACAAAGCAATGTACCTTCTTATCTGATATCAGTGATTATTAACTAGTGAATAGTGTCTTAAAAAGTTATCAGTGCAAAAATTTGGAGGAAGATAAAGTCAACACCGCTTGCTATCAAGTTGATCTAAACTCATAGTACAGAGAAAAAAAACGTGGAGACAGAGAGAGTGTTGTAATTTAGGCAAGAAGCTTACTGTCTCCATTTTTGCAGAGAAAAATGAGGCTTAGAGACTATATCTCCCCAAAAGGATTTTAAATGAGGAACGTAGAAAAGGATTTAGAAGATATTTTGGTACATTATAGATAGAGATTCCACAAAATGTTCCTTCCTTCCTGCAGCTTGAAGGAGTGACTGACAAAATGAGGTAGGTCACAGTCCAACATTTCCTAGGATGGATAATACATCAACTATCCAAAACACAATTATTTTTAATAAGTTATGAATGTAAATACACTGAAAATTATTATAATAACTCTGACATAATGAAAAATGTATTAGATCAAATTCTATTTGTTATTGGCAAAAATATGTTAATACCATCTATAAACAGCTTAAATAAAGTAATGGACATGAATACACATTTCATTCTCAATATCTATACAAGCAAGAGACATTACTGTTCAAATTTTAAAGCAGAGAATAGCCCACAAAATTTGCGTAATATAATTTCCAATTTAATTAAGGAATACAGATGAAGTACTTAAAAAGTATCTTCCAAAAAATGAGAGGTAAATGAATAAAATATATTCTTTAAAATATTCATTCAAGTAGGAATATCTAATTAGTATTTCAAGTACATCTAAGTGATATTTCAGTTTGAGAATTCTTAAATGCTTACCTTTTTTGATCTCCTAGTTCTTCACTTTTCTGAGATTTTTCAGGACATTTTTCGCTTCCCTTATAAAAGAGAAAGTTTTCATTTTAAATTGTATGGGTTTTTTTATGTGATCAAGGGCAACATATTACTAATATATGTTCTGTTTTTTACCTTAAGAAAAGACACGAATGATCCAAGAGGTGCATCTCCTTGTTCTGAGACTGCTACATCTTCTGTGTTGGGGTCAATAAAATCATACACTTCTTGGTCTAAGTAAAGATGAATATTTGTTAGAAAATTATTATAGTAGTCTATATTACTCTGGGTACTTTGGAGAAACAAATCCACAGTGACTCATGTATAAGAGAGAGTTTTATGTAAAGAAAAGGTGCATCACGAAAACATCCCAACCCAATGCTGCCCAAGCCCACAAATCCAACATTAACCCATTAACCCAACACCAGTCCACAAAGTCCTCCACCTCACAAAACAGAGGCAATGATGCCGACTGCAGGAGGAAAGCTGAGTCAGTGAATGAATAAGCATCTCAGCACTAGCAGGGTCTCCACACGGCTGCTCCAGCACCCAGGGCTGCAGCGGGATAGGTCCATGTAGCTTCTCCTTGGGGATGTCTTGTAGGAAGTCAATCTTGCAAGCTGAAGGAGCGAACTGCTAAGGCAGCTGCACCCGGTGCGACCATCACAAAGCAAAAGACCGGAGAACTAAAAAGGCGAGGCTTCACCACCCATTTATCCCTCCGCCTTTCAACCAGCCCCACATGTGATTATCGGCCAGGCTGGCACAATTAACTAATTCATAGTCTGTATGCTTTGACACTATACTGCTACAAATAGAAGCATATTCTCTTGATACAAACGGGCTAATTTTTAATTAAAAACTCCATTCCTTGTCCACGAAATAGAAATAGAAGATACTGTATGAATTACCTTTCTGAGTCTCAGGTTTATTTCCTACGGAATGACTGTCATTTCTTGATGTCTGCTCTCTATTTGATTCTGAGACTTGAGAGTGAAGGCTGATTGTGTCATCATCGGAAGGCTAAAAGGAATAAGCACAAAGTACAAACAAGAAAATTTAAACATCTGACAAGGAATCAGTTGCTCTAATTGAATATATGAAGTATAGATGCTTTGTTTTACATATCTCCAATTTTGAAACTAAAAATTATAAGGTTTATTGTTCTGCTTTTAAAATTTGCTAGGTACCACCGCGTTGGTTCTGACTCATAGTGACCCTATGTACAACAAATCCAAGCACTGCCTCGTGCTTTAAACGTCGACATGCCCCTTTATATATATGAAATCATAAAATATACTAATGCTATTTTTAAACAAAATAAAAACTCAATTATTTGCACACTGATAATACTTTAAAACTGAATAGATTGACAATCAATTATGTGCACACTGATAATACTTTAAAACTGAATAGATTGACAATCAATTATGTGCACACTGATAATACTTTAAAACTAAATAGATTGACAATAGAAAAGACTTACTTCTGTTGTAGACAATCGTTTCTCTCCATTATCACTTCCAATTCCAGAGTCTGGGCCATGATTTTTATTTGGATAAAAATCTTCCATACTATAGAAACAGAAGGTTTAAGGTCAGTTAGTGTCTTCCCTTAAAGCAGTAATACCCACTTCACTGAAACCGCCCCCCATCCCTAGATAATACAGAATATATACTGTTAGTGTCTAAAGACCCAACAAGAGTTCAAACTGAGCCGATTCTGATTTATGGTGACTCCATGTGTTATAGAGTAGAACTGAGCCCTGTAGTTTCTTCTTAGCTGTACACTTTCTAGAAGCAGATCACCAGGATGCTGTATGGGTTTAGGGTAGGGCATCAACCTTCTGATTATGAGCCCAGCACAAAGTGTGCCACTCACGGCTCAGATCCCTAGGACCCCAGAGAGAAGGACTTCATTCATGCCTCTCATAAAACTATTGTTCTTCCATGTGCTTTGTTGGACAGTGTTAATTATTGACAATCACCTATTATTCCTCTTGAGAAATTCAGGAGAGTGTCTCTATGCTGTGTTAGCTGTGCGCCATTCTATTTTGTCCACGCTTTACAGTTTATGCATTATTGTTTCTTTTTCAAATGAGAGTGAAAAGCTTACAAAAGTTAACTTTGCGAAGGTAAAAAGGGTAGTGCTTGCTGGACCCTATCTAATGAAATACCTGCCTCAAACTCATTTAATTCTCACAACAATCTGTTTTTAGGATTTTGTTAACAATACTCTTAGATAAAACTTAAGCTTATGCAAGGTCAGACAGGAATTACGTGGCTATATCATGAGATCTGAAATCTATCTATTTCATGCACTCAAATGTATCTTTGATGATGATAATAAGGTACTTGTGCAATTTTATAGGTCAAAATTGTGTTAAATATTCTACATATATATTAAAGTAAACTGACACAGATGCTGCCAGGATTAAATGCATGAATGTTATTTTACTATTTACATGTAAGAAACCTGAAGATCCAATACTCTAAAATGCAAAAATCATACCATTATTAAGGTAGAATATAGCTGCAAAGCCATATACTGGCTGACTCCCCAAGGTGACAGACTTAATTAACTACTCTAAGACTTAACTACAGATCCATGTAGAGTGAAAGGTTTACAAAATCGACAAAGCACAGAAGTGCATCCTCAGTAGTCAGGCCCACACAGGCAAAGGCCTCAGGTTAAAAAAAAAGTCGAAAACAATTACAAGCATTCTCTAGGTAGTTCAATATGTGCCATACGTGGGAGATGAACACATCCTATTGCTAACCCATGAGCACGATCTTATACGGTTGTCATTAGCCCTGTGTTGCGAACATGCATTTGAAATGTGACGTGTCCAAATTGAGGTGTGCTATCAATGTAAATATGTAACAGCACTCAACGATTTAATGCAAAAAAGTAAAATATCTTTTTCATAGCTTTATACTAATTCCTTCTTGAAATGCTACATTTAAAGATACTGGCTTACTGAGCTATTAATTTCACTTATTTTACATTTTTAAAATGCTGCTAGAAAATTTTAAATCACATATACAGCTCTTATGATTTTTTTATGGACAGTACAATTACAAAGCAACACTGAACTACATATCAACTCTATCCACTTCTTTTGTTCCCCACTGCAACCACCCTGTTCCAGACTCTTTGGTTTCGTGATAGTACGGCAAGAGCCTAACCGATTCCTCTGCTTCTGCTTCTGCTGACTTCCAATCTTATTCTATTGGAGCTAAAAATATTAAACAAAATCGAGCAATTCAGCATGAAATCAAAAGGTCAACAATTACTCAAAAGTCAATATGTGAAAATAAGGCATCAAAGAAACTCGAATACTGCAATGGGAAGAGACTAGACAGAATGAGAATAGAGACACTGTGATAAATGCAACTAATGTCAGCGAGGATTTTTGTGGATATTGTCAAATGGAAACTTAGCTTGTGTACACTTTCACCAATACCTCAATAAAGTCGTATTAAATTTCTAAAGCCATACAGTTAATCATATTATTTTCCTGCTTAATACATCCCAGTGACTGTCCAAATAATATTTTGCATAGAAATCATTTGAGTACCAATTCAAACTCCTTATCACAGCCTCCAAAATCAACTTATTTCGCTCTCATTGCAGGCTTCTTTTCAGTTCCTTAAACACATTAACTTCCTTCCTGCTTGAAGGCTGTTGCATATATATCATTCTTTCTTCCTGAAATGCTCTTCTCCTCACTGTTTTCTTAGCTTAAAAAGTCACCTTTCTAAAGGGAAATTCTTTGATCACAGCACTGAGCACAACTTGGCCTTATATATCTGCTTCCTTGCAGATGTGTGTGCTGTTCAACAAAGCACACAGACCAACACTCTACACATTCAGTTGATATTTTAAAAGAAATCAAATTGTGAATGCCTTTACTAAATCAAATTCATTTCAATTCAATGATATAAAGCAGATTAATAGAGATTAAAAGCTAACTCACTGCTATCGATTCAATTGTTTGAGACTGTAAATTTTCATGGGAGTAGAAAATATCATCTTTCTTCTGAGGAACAGCTACTACTGACTTTATAGTTAGCAGCCCAAGCTATCACCCCACCGCCACAGCGGTGAAGTTTGTTGTTTTCTTAATTTTGTTTTTTACTAGCAATTAGAATATAGATACTTTTAATTTTTATAGATTGTTTCGACATTTAATTCTACTTAGACAATAGAAGTATTGAAGGACATATCCTCTTTGAGAATTTAATGGCACGTATTTACAGTAGGACTTACTATACTGCCATTCCAAGTGATCTAAATTTTATTAGATATACAATGACAAACCTTTAAATATTTTAGACAGCAGTATAGTCTTTATGTCACTTCATCAAAGTGGTTTTTCATATTACAAGTTGGAATTATGTTTTCACTGAATTTTTCAGACCAATCTACATCTTCAAAAGATCAATTAAAAAGAGAATATTACCTCTACCTTGTCACAATCTCATGAGGGAAAAACACCAAAATCAGTGGTAGGTTATTTTTGATCCAGACATAAAAGAATACAAAGAACATGAAGAAAAGTATCACTAAATGTCTTGTCCTTCCACCCACCCCAGTTCAAAGTGAAATTCCATTTGTTACTACAAATGCAAACCCGAATGAGGGTAGAAATAAGTTAGCAGGTGTCAGGTGCTGAGAAATCAGCACTCCTATGCTATCGTTTCAAAGATTCAAGTTGTTCACCACTAAAATTTTAATAATGCCTTTTAAGGGAAATTTCTAACTTCATCCTAGCATCTCAGAAATATATCCTATGAGGGTGACATTCTATTCCAGCCAATTGTTGGTTTTAATACTGGATTGCTCAGCCTAAATCAATCTAATGATCTCAACATTAATAAATATATTTTATATTAGGGTGCTTCAAAAAATTTGTGAGGAAATTCCATTATCTTTTAATTTTAGTTTTCCATGACTATGTGAAGACCCCTTGTATAGAGAGAAGACCCAAATCATTATCAGTTGTAACAAGGAGAATATTACCTGTCTGTGAGTGGCTGTGAGGGCATTCTTTTACTCAAAGATGGAAGATCCAGGGAATCTGGCTTCTTATCCATTCTGCAACATGCCTGGATATTTAAGTACTTAAATATGTGCACTTTACCCTTTAAACATATCTGTTAACAAATAATGGGAAAAGTAGACTTAATTTCCAGTTGTACTATAAAAATGCTACCTATCAATTGTTTATGAATTTTAACAATCTGAAATATCAAAACATCAGAATCTTGATACTTTGTCTAAATAGTTTACACTACTGACACCAGATAAAACAAATCCAATAACACTAATACCAACTATGAAATTCTGTTGCCATCTTTGTGCTCATTAGAAAAAAGCAAGTGAGATATTTTTATACTTTACAAAGCTTTTCTTTTTTATTATTAAATACTTTTATTCGGGGAGCTTACATCTCCCATCACAATCCATACATTCATCCATTGTGTCAAGCACATGTGCTGCCATCATTTTCAAAGCATTTTCTTTCTACTTGAGCCCTTGGTATCAGCTCATTTTCCCCTCCCTACCCCACTCTCCCTTCCTCATGAACCCCGTGATAATTTATACATTATTATTTTCATATTTTATATCGTCCTCTACTGCCCTTCACCCACTTTTCTGTTGTTCGACCCCCTGGGAGGGGGTTATATGTAGATCCTTGTGATCGGTTCCCTCTCTCTCCCCACACCTTCCCTTATCCTCCTGGTATCTCTATTCTCATTGTTGGCCCAGAGGGGTTTATCTATCCTGGATTCCCTGTGTTGCAGGCTCTTATCTGTAGCAGTGTGCATGTTCTGGTCTAATCCGATTTTGTAAGCTAGAATTGAGGTCATTATAGTGGGGGAAGGAAGCATCACAGAAGTAGAGGAAAGTTGTATGTTCCATTGGTGCTATTGCACCCTGACTGTCCAATTGTCTACAGATGCTCTTTGGGTGTCCAATCCACACACCCTCCCCATTCACAAGCAAAATGTCAAACCACTAAACAAGATATAATCTGACAGTTCCAGACAGTTGTTTTTATTAGAGAACACTAAAAAGATATCCATTGCAGTGTGGGGAAGAGAACAAATAATATATGTATTTCTTCCAAGTTGCCTCATCAGTGCCACCCAAATATCTGGTGTAAACACTGGAAGAAAGAAAACCCAATGGAATGTCTAAAATAGGAAAAATAAATGTATTGGAGGTGATGGGCATAGGCCACTTAGAGTAAAACAATACAAGAAAATACTGGTCAATTCAGCCAGGTTAATCCACAGAGAAGTTATTTTCATCGGTAAAGTAAAAAGAAATGATGAGAGCACCATAAAACTTCCTTACAAGACATTGAACTACCTTGCAAGACGTTGAGCCTCATCAAATAAACAAGCACAAGAAACTCCACTTTAAAGAAAAAAAATAATAAAATGTAATATTGAGGCCCAGGCCAACATTTACATCAAAGAAGCCACCACAAAAATGTGAGAACCCTGATAAGACTGAGCTGAGACCTGACCGATGCCCAAAAGCTAGCCGAGTCACCTAAAGCATGGAAAGACTCGATAAGACTGGGCTGAGACCTGGCCAAAGCCCAAAAATTAGCCAAGCCACCTAAAGCGTGGAGAAACCCGAATAAGACTTGACTGGGACAGTGAAAACCTCAAAGAGCTAGCCAAAATGTCCATTTAAACCCAGGTAGAGACACTGACCTTTAGAGAGCCAGGAACCAAGGAGACATCATCTCCTGCTCTCTCCAACTCTACCTGGGGTGAGTACACCGATGAGGCAATGCTGATTGGGACTATGGTGCTAATATGAAATGTGTGAGAAGTGTTGTTATTCTGCCTTTATGCTCATAGTTGTTATTCCGCCTTTATGCTTATAGTTGTTTGCCCTTAATAGTTTGAATAATATTTAGATTGTTTGATGTGTGTTTGAGTGAATAAACCGAGCATTCGAAAATGTCTAAGAGCATTAAGTAATTATTGATCGTGCCGCTCATGACAAGAAATACTGCAAAGAAAAATACTATGTGTGTAGGGGGGGGCAGTTCTTCTGAAAAAGAAAGATGGAAAATAACAGATGGAGGCAAGTCTGCTTTACAAAAGTTAATTGCAGGTATGATGACTGATAGGAAATAAATCTCTCTTAAAATTCTAATGAAAATCTTGTGTTCTATGGGCTCACAGTACAAATTTAAAAGACATGTAAAATATTTTTAAAAACTCCAGGGAGTTGACTGGTTATTATTACCAAGAGAACAGTAAGACAATGACAGATAAAAGCAATCTTCCAGATGGGAGAGAAATATTTTGTGGATAATTCTCAGACTTACTAGGTCTGATTTGATCACTGACAAATCTAAGTTCAAAGGCAAAGAAAAACCTTGTAGTTACTAAGAAGAAAATATGTTCATTACCAATTGAGATGTGCTAAATGGTAGCCTGCCAAACCTGAAAGATATTGATCACTAAAACAACCCAATCTGCAGGCAGTCATGCGGATGGTACCGGATGAGGCAGCATTTCATGCCGTTGTGCATGGATGGGGCCTGACAATAACCGAACCACCGACACCACCAAGGAAAATTCTGGTGAATTATTTTCACTTCTGTAAATTTAATTTTTATTGTTTCCATACTAATTCATGTACAATATATGGTTTTAGAAACCAGTCAGGATTACAAAACGAATAATAGCAATAATAAAAACCCAAGCCAATAACTTCACTTTCTACTTCTTTTAATGTCCACATTCAATCTCCATGTTCTGCGCTTTTAGCTTGTTTCCTATTTCCAATATGTATAAATAGCATGTTTTAGTGTTTTTTTATTATAGATCTTATTTAGAGATCATACCTTAAGATATCTTTCTCCACCACCATCCCTATCATCCCCACCGACTTATACAACTTTATGTTTGCTCATCTCGGTATCACAGAATTGTGGTTTAAGAACATGGATTTGGGATTCAGACTGCTTGCATTCTGGCTCTACTCACACTAGCCATGTGACTTTAGACAAGGCATCTAATTTCCATGTCTTTGTGTCAATTAGAACAGGTAACTACTTAGGAATAAGCAGAGCATAAGTCTGTAGGAAGAAACGGGTAACTTCTTCCTCTGGGTATATTCAACCCCTGTGCTAAGGCAGATAGCTGAGAAGTACAACGCAGGCTGGAATTTTGCTGCCATGCACCTCCTCTGCCATAGATTATCGTGCAGCCTAAGTGGATGCCCTAGAATTTTAGAAAATGGAAAATACACAGGACAATGCTATCCTATTGACTGTTTCCATCTCTCCCAAGTTACCGTCTTCTGTTCTCTGTTTTTTCTATGTGCTTGTCTTAGTTTCTTTTCTTAACTATCACGTTAGTGGATTTCACATGGATTTGCTGTTCTCCTGAGTAGCTATCAAGTCAATTCTGACTCGTGGTGAAATCATGTGTGCACATTCGAATTGCTCTGTATGATTTTCAAGGCTGTGGTCTTTTAGCTGTGATCTTTGGGCCTTATTTCCAACACATCCCCAGGAAGGTATGAACCATCTTCCTCTCAATTAGCAGTTTGGGGCTTAACTATTTGTACCACCCAGCAACACGGATTTAACCCTTGTAAAAGCAAAGACCTTGTTTCTCCTTACACCCTTGGGACAAGGGAACAACAAATGGTTCAAAACCAATGGTAGGGAAGGGACGGGAGGACTGGTATGGAGTGACCAAGGGCAAGGCAACTGCGAGGAACTACCGAAACCAGAATGAAGGCTGAACATGGTATTGGGACAGGAGGAAAGTATAAGAAATAGAGGAAAGAAGTAGGAGGCAAAGGGCATACATACAAGCCTAAATACAGACATGTACATATGTAAAT